AGGTGCTGGGTACACGTTGTCTTTCTTGTTTCTGATAGTGAATGGATGCATAGTGACTTGGCTGTTTTTAATATCTTGTGTTACTTAGTAGAATATGGTTATGTATGAAGTGATGAATGGAATCAATTTGGTATATATTTTTTACAACTGAGACTTCACTCCACCATCAGTTGCTCCTGTCGGCACCCTCTCCCCTCAGTTCAACACATGTTCGATCACTGCAAGCAGTTGACTAGAGCAGAAAAGAGTAGCTCGTTTGTTTCATACGGACATCTGGCATGTGGACATTTTTGAGTCTCTAGGTTCTGGCAATGGCTCTGAAATTTAAGCATGGTTTCTGATACTCAAGCATCTACAAGCTCTGAAAAGGCACATGGGGATGCTCAGAACCTTCAAATCATTTTTGACTCTTCCCTTTCTTAGTCCTCCATTTGTCATTAGTGAACAGATCCTTTCGATTCCTGCTTCAAAAGTTTCCTTGCATCCTCTTTTCCTTTGAGTTGCATTTACCACCAGCCTTGTTCAGTCCTCTATCTTCAGACGTAAAGTCTGATTTTTTGTCTCTCTTCAACTCTAGATTGATCTTTCACCTTTAAAAAATACTACTTTAATCTAAAGCCATTGCTAAACCCAATGTCTGTCACTCTGTCTTTAAATTCTAAGTTTCCTAAGGCAGGGACGGTCTCCTATATCCTTTATCCCTAGAGTCTAAGTTAGTGCTGTTGTATACATCAAAGAGTCCATCTCTTTTGGTTGGTTTATTATTTCATAGAGGTTTAAGTGAGAGTTTTTCACATCTTTGTGTTTATAAGGAATAAGTTGCTTTCTGTCTGGATGCTCTTTTATGAACAAGATAGGTTCTGAAAGGTCATTTCTTTGGAATTCTAATGCATCGCAGCTGACAGAATCTTTGGATACATGGGTTGGCTTCAGCAGATCTGGATACTCTCTGAAATCATGTGCAGAATTTTTGAGTGTGAGTGCTTATGTGCCTTTTTTGGGAGCAGAGTCTACAACTTTCAACAGTTTCTTAAAGAGAAGTAGGAAGCCAAGTAGGAACCAAGTCTATGTTTTATCACCTTTCCTTCTCACTGGCTTGTAAGGAAAGCCAGACTCCCTCTGCTTCCCTCCTCAACACTAACAAACTTATCTATCTCAGTTCCCACCCTTATGCCCTTTCCTCATTTTCTCAGAGGAAGAGATCTCCTCCTCCTGTTGTACTTTGTAACCCTCTGACTGTGTTCTCAGTCCCGTCCCTTCTCTTCTGGGATCTTGGGATCTTACTTCATTGATTGATCTATTCATTCATAGTCTTTTTGTCTTTGTCTCTTCCTCTTATCTTCAGCCTCTCACTTAGCACTTGGCTCTTGGCTCCTTCCCTTCAGCCTATAAGTATGCTGAAGTTTCTCCCATCTTAAAAAAAGCAGCTTCCCACAGTCTTGTATTGGAATCTGCTTGCTCTCCTGTGCTTGCGTTCTCTTCTCATAGATCCTGGAAGGTGGAGCCTACATTTCCTTTATCGTCTTTCTTACTTTTGCTCACTACTCCTCAGTCATTACTTCCGCCTCATTAAGGCTCTGAAACAACTGTCTCCAAGGCCACCAATGACTTCTGATTTCAGACTGAAAAGTACCCACTGGATACAGCATCTTTCTCTGCAGCGTTGGATACTGTGGATTATCTTTATAAAACTCTCTCCTTCCTTAGCTTTTGTGGCATCATTTCCTTCTGGCTCCCTAACTTTTTCTTCTTATGCTCTCTCTTGGGCTTCTTTTTCTCTCTCTTCCTGCTGATGTGGGTGTTCCCGATTTCTGTCAGTAGCCTTCATCTCACTTCATATACACTTGCTGAGTCATCTCATCCATGCCCAGGGCTTCAGCTGTCATGGCTGCAAGATGGCTCCTTGGTCTATATCTTGAGGCCTGACTCTCCTCTGCCCTAGATATCCCATCGGTTTCCTCCAGACAACTGTAACTTAGTAAGTCCAAAACTGTGCTCCTTGTTTCAGCCCGTTCCACAAATATTCCCCGCGTCAGAATGTCCACTTACCCAGGTCAGAAACTTGGGGCTCATCCTTAACTTCTAGAAGATCACTAAGTCCTGTTGATTCTGCCTCCTCCCCTCCATTCACATTGTGTCAGTCTTTGTTCAGGCTTTTACTATCTCTTGATGAGGCTATTGCAATAGTCTCCTAACTTGTCTGCCTGCCTCCAATCTCTTCTGCTTCCAGTGTTTCCTTCTCCAGTCTGTGATGGAATGATCATTCTGAAACACAGATCTTTTGTGTTCTTTTCCCTGTTTGAAATGTTTCAGTGGCTTCCCCCATCCACAGGATGAAATTCAAGCATCCTTTGTGTACCAAGACCTGTCTGCTTTTTAGCCTCAGTTCCTGCTCCTTCCAGGTTTTTTCTCTCCTTTCTGGCCAGACCCAACGATTTGCACTTCCTTGAAAGCACTGTGCTTTTTCACTTCCATGCCTTTGTACACGTTGCCTTTCTCTGAGAAGTGCCCATTCTGGCATGTTCTTCCCCCTTTTCTGCCTGGTTTCTGTTCCACTCAATTTCCTGTAAGAAGCCAGCCTTTCCTAAGCTCTCTTAAGAAGTTAAGATCTCTGTATAAGTAGCCATCAGTTATTGAGTGCTTATTATGTAACAGGCCCTGTGCTTAGTACTTTATATACTCTGCCTGGCCGGTAAGTAGGTTCTGAATAAATAGCTCCTATTATCATGGTGATGAGCAAACTGAGCTAGTGAAAAGCACCTGCACATTGAGTGGAATGCAGTGTGTGCCAGATCCCCTCTTGTTAACACCCAGCCTGATCTTTCCCTTACTCCCTACCGGTAACAGTAACATTCTAAAATGAATGGGCCTGGGCCGGCCCCGTGGCTTAGCGGTTAAGTGCGTGCGCTCCGCTGCTGGCGGCCCGGGTTCGGATCCCGGGCGCGCACCGACGCACCACTTCTCCGGCCATGCTGAGGCC